CAGGGCAGGAACAACTGTCTTCATCGGGACGCGGGGGTTGTTCGGTTCAGGCTGACGCACGCCCTCTGAGGCTGAGATGGACCTAATTAGCGCGTGCCACTCTGCTGGTGAGCTGTGGTGGTTACTTCATCTCGCTGGTCATCAAGTCTTCTGTGACAGATTGGATGCCCAAAGAGACCTGGTTTTGCTGATAAATCATTTTCATCGGCAAATGCATGTCCTAATTCTAAAGATAAATTACCTTTTCACTCTTTGGGGAATTGGCGAGTGGTGCACAGTGACCCTGACGATGCCCTTTTTGGATTGTAGGCACGGCTCCAAACCGGAGGGTTCTGGCAGGGACAGGCCCCCAGGGGTCTCGGCAGCCTCTGCGGTTAACGTTGTCCTGCCGGGAGCGCAGGGCGAGGGCTGACCTTAATCCTACTGCTAGGAAAACGCGTCGGTCAGTTCCCCGGAGTGCGGCACGTGAGCTGGGGCTAAAGGCTGTACCCTGCCGGGATGCTCCTCTCCCCAGCAATGGCTGTTCGTTAGGAGCAGCGTAACGGGCCCGCAATCAGTCATTCTTTAAGCTGGAACTTGCTTTAGGTAAAACGCCCGTGTCGCCATTTAACCTTGACCTCGGCTGTGATGCTGCCTGTACTTTGCTCCCCAGGTAATGACAAAGCCAGCAATTAGGTTGCCCAGTGGGTTTGCGTTTCTTTGGCTTGCTCTCCCCAGGGAAACGTCGATGCTTTTTGCTACTGGCTCTCAGTGGTGGAGTTCTCTGAATAAGACGTCTTTTATCTCTTTTCATTGTTTTAGGCAGCGAAGTGAAGAAATGAGTTTGTTCCTGGCTTTGGTAATCTTCAGTCTGGACTGTGCCATGCCGTTCCCTCACAAGCAGACAGCTGTCACGTGAATTCTGGAGCTACAGAAGTAATTACTTTGTCCTGTACTCGAAAATGTTGAGGAAAGCCTCCTGAAATCTAAACTTCTGAAGCTCTCTTATGGCTTGTAAAGTCTCTCACAGGTGGAACAAGGAGGAGTATGAGTGTTTGATGTAGGGTTAGGAGATTGAAATTCCAACAAGGTATTAAAACAGCTATAAAACCTCCAAGACTTGCTCCCCAAAACAAAGCAGATGTAACCCAAGAATCCTGAAGGAATCGGGAAGGGAGAGGTTTGTGATGGTATCAGAATATTTATTTTTAACTGGGGAAAGAAACAAGACTTCTGCTTTAAAGAATTAACCGATGCTAGTTGGAAGTGGGAGAGTAAAGGGAAGAGCTGTGTTCAAACTGCTGTCCCTGCTGGCACGTAACCCTATCGGTCTGATGGAGTGGATGCCGAAGGGCAAGGTGACTACAGCAGTGAGCTTTACCTCCAGAAAGACACTCGCGCCTGGGGCTTGAATGTAACAACAGGGAGGGGCCTGCGCTTTTGTGCCCAGAGCGCAAGGGGTTTTCCCCTCTCTTTCCTGGCTACACTGAAGCCATTCTGTGCTTAACAGTTAAAAGCAAGGTTCCGGTTTGATTTATAGAAGCGCATCTCCCGAGACAAACTTAACAAACCCCCTGGTGTTTGATACCTGGAAACAATTAGGCCAGTCTTAACTTATTGCAGGCAGGAAAACTGCTTGCTGGCATAATGATGATTACTGCTCTTTGCCGTTTACCCAGCTGAATTCTGTGATGAGCAAGGTTGTACCTGATGTGCCAGCTAATAAGCAGGATTTTTCCAGTTTGATTTGCTACTGTTGTTTCCGATACGATTTATTCTTTTTAAAGGTGCTGTGACGTCAGACCTTCTGCACCATCTTCAAGCCTTGCATAGGCACACGCAGCCAACAAGCAGGCTCTGTCGACTTCGAGATGCCTGGGTGTTTAAGAAGGCAAGTTGCTATTTTACTGTGGTACTGTACTGGGCCTCCAGCAAGCTACGCTGCTAGCTGGTGAGGGACCTTTGCTGCTGTCTGGAGCTGCGCTGGCTTACATCAGCCAGAGGTGCGGCCTGTTAAGTTGAAGATGCTTTTGGACTGCTGACTGACCAATGCTGTCCTTTGCTTGGCGGTGCTGCTACTAGTCTTCTAATTGTTGCTTAAAACATCATGGGAGCAGCTGGGGAGAGGTGAGGATAAAAAACTGTGCTATTCCTTAATACAGCTTGTCAAAAATGGTGATTTATGAAGGAATTAATTCTATTTCAGTCTATTCTAGAAGCAATTTTGCTGGCATAATGATGAAATCTTTGCCGTTTACCCATCTGACTGTTTTTGATGTGTACCTTTGAATCTGAACTGCCAGTAAAGTTAATAACTCTCTACAAGATTGATTGAGCATACAGAAAACTGACGCCCCCCTTTTTTTTTTTTTAGCTTGGAAACAGCAGCCTGAAAGGTGGAGTTCTAATGCACTTGGAAATGCTTTCATGGCCCTTCCTGCTCCTCAGGAATGCTGCTTGATTCAATAGTAAGGCAGAGGAGCAGCTGTTTAGTGGAAAATGTGTGAATAGTCCTCAAATGGAGTTCAGGTGAGAGTGTCACTCTAGAAAGGGAAGTGGCCTTGTGGACACTCTTCGAGCTTAGTATGAAAATTTAAGTGTACCAAATAAATTGAACAAAATTGAATAAATCAAGTGTTAAAATGTGGGAAAACTTGCGTTACCTTGTCTAAATGGGAGTGTTTACAATGTTAGCGGTGGCAGCTTTTCTGCTTCTCTCAAAGGCAATGTGTGTATGAAAAAAAATCCACACTTCTGTTTTCAGTGACTAGTTTTTTTGGTTGAGGCTTTGTGAGCAGTAGCACCGTGATCCTGCTGGATGACATCCTGGGTAGGAGTCACACCAAGCCTTCAGTGTTCAGCTTTCCCAAAAAAGGAAGTCTGTACAATTTTCCTGCTGCTTTATTTTTTTTAACATGGACCTCTGGATGTAAAACTTGCTCAGTATTACGTCTACTGCTATATCCTTACTAAGAAGATAAAGTCCACAGCTGGAGAAGCATACTGTAGCTCGGACACCTCATCTTCTACCACACTGCTCATTATACTGGTTTTTGCAGTGAGGTCAAGTTGAACTCGCTGAGCTGCCTACCTACCAGGTCATCTAAAAACGTTTTTTTGGGTTTTTGCCCCCCCCCCCATTGCTCATTATACTGGTTTTTGCAGTGAGGTCGAGTTGAACTTGCTGAGCTGCCTACCTACCAGGTCATCTAATAACGTTTTTTGTTTCCCCCCCCACACACACTTTTCCTGTAGGGTTCTACTAGCCCCTGCTGTCTATATAAAGTAATGTGGAAATACTGAGGGTTTTTTCAGATTGCAGGAGCACACAGGCATCCTGGTCTAATACTATGTTGCTGTGGTGTTAAACTAAGACATAGAACATCAAGCAGTCTGGTGATACTTTTATACCTTTTAGAACATGAGTAATAATGAAAGTCAGCTTACTCTAGAACAAGAGTTTTAATGTACTTAAAACTATTTGGCCCTCAGTGGGTGATACATTTGAAAAGAAGCAACAAGAAAAACTGCAGAGTTCATGCAGTTGAAATGAAACGGATTCTAAACTCTTGGTTTAACTGTTAGTTGTAGTCTTGTTAAAAACCCAGCTTTACTGCTGTCACTTAACTGTGGATGAACAGTGGTAGCAGAGAAGAGAAGTTCAGATTGCGGCTTTATTCTGAAGCCATGGCCTCCCAGGATGGAGACATCACTCCTGCCTTCAGACAATGTTGTCACAAAACTTGGAACTGAATCTTGTCAGCTATGCTCTATTCCTCAGCAAAACAGCACTGAACTGTCTTACAAAAGAAATATGCAACTAATAAAGTTCTTAATGTAACTGCAGTCTCTCAAAAAACTAAAGTGGAAGTGTCTGGCTTTACTTACAGAGTGGAGTTTTCACTCTTCATTAGTGTTAATGTGAATTCCTGGGCCATATGCACCAATAAACTTCAGCAGTTGATGGTGACACTGCATGAGGTAACTATCTCTCTGTTGCAGGGAGTTTTCATCACTGAGGTCAAAGGGGAATACAGGATTTGGCGCTACACACAATGCAGACTTGCCTAAGCAAAGAAGAAATCAAGATTTAGGCTAGAAGACTTGATAAACTCTTGCCAGGACTTCGAAGGAAAAAAGCTGTGACAGATTACTTAGTAATGCATTCCTGTATGTTACTGTTTTTAAGCATTATATCGTAATTCTTGTGTCTCACTGCCAAATTTGTGTGTGAACAAATGTGACTGATGCTAGATAAACAAAAAACCCCTCAACCCTTGTCTTTTCTTTCCCCAGAGTGGGAACTCTGTCTTTAGTTTAACTTGGACCAAAGAGGAGCAATGCCTCATATAAACCAGCATAAAGGATGGAGGCTTGGTGCTGGCCAGCAGCCTGATTATGTACAGTGCTGAGACTCTGCAGGAAAGTCAGCTGGAAGACTTCTTGCATCAGTCTTAAACAGTGGAAATTCTGGACTTTGATTTGAAGTGAACTATTATTGCAATCGTATAAACTTTTTTCAAACTGCCAAATATGGACCCAAGACTAAAGACTGAGTTACGTTATGTACCATGTTTTAGGGTAAGAGCCGATTCAAGTAACAAGATGGCAATTAATGCATCTTCCTCAAGCACTTTCTTTCGTAAACTTAGTTTAGCATGAGCCTTCGACAGTGAAATCCTAGGAGACAAATATAAGCATGTCAAAAAAAATACTGCAGATGTGAGCGCAGTATGTATTGCCCTGTTTCAAGCACTTCTGTAAGTCGGAAGTTAACACTGGGGTGGTTTTTTTTCTGTACTTCAGTTGTGTAAACTTTCCACAAATACTATGCAATTATACTTGTCACTGACAAACTACATATTATTACGCATGACTGACTTGTGCTATGAAAGCAGTAGAACTTGGCATATTATCTACTGTTGATACTTTATTTTTGCTTGCGTAATACAAAGCTGTGATAATTCAAATACCATTTTTGTTTTTCTAGATAGCTTTAATAGTGACAATTCTTAAATCACTGGTTTTTTTGCTTGGCAAAGTTCTTTTAAACTTTTCTTTTTTGCAACATCAATATAAGAAGTAAATGGTATTCATAAATGGTAAATAAGATTCTTTATGCTTGAACTTTTCAAAACTTGGTCTCTTGTCTAGATTTTTACTTAATAAGTTCTTGAGCAGGTTAGCACAGTTTCTATTTGAAACATAGATGTGTTCCCTTTACTATGAAAAGTAGGACGTACAGAATTCTTAGTGCAGATGCTGATACTGTTGATCCATGAACAGAACCTCTCCTCACTCTGCGACTTGCAAGATAGTAGCCCTGAATGAGGTTTTCGGCTTCTGAACTCAGTTCGACGTGAAGATTCTTAGCAAACAAAATGAACTAGAGAGAGGGTATACATTTTAAATACTTATCTGGAAAACAAGGAATTTCCATTTTTCACCCCTTCTAACATACCAGTGGCATCATAATATAGTTTGGAGAATGTACTCTACCAATAGTTTTTATGAAGACAGCTGTCACTGTTCAGCTACGCGTAAGGGTAGGTCTCGGATACTAAATGGAATAATCTGTTAATTATACTAGAAATATTGACAGTTTATTTGGAATATTAACTTTTAGTACCAATTGTAAACTATTCTGGTCAAAAATAGGTATTAGAAATCTGTTTTCATATGAATATTAACCTAGTGTGTTTTTCAGAAAAAAAGATGAAACTGAATTTATTATGCTGGCCCTTTTAAAGAACCGAAGCTAACTTTTATCAATGATCCTATTAGTGCCCGTGAGAAGATGGTGGGGGGAGAGGGTAGGGAGCAAGTACTAACAGGTTTAAAAATAAGCCATCAGAATGTGCGGAGAGAACCTTCCGATTCCAGAAACAGTATGGTATTCCTAAGTATAATGCATTTTGAAATTACTGGGCGGTATCTGTTACCTTCTCATAATCCTGCATTGTGAACTGCTGTGAGACTTTGTACAGCACGGCTTCAGGATTCATGGCTTTCTTCAAGATATGATGAATGAGAGGAGAAGACAGTCGACATGAAGGAAACTCATTGTATATCAAAAGCCCAAAAACATCTAGAAGGTTAGGTGGAATCAAACTCACGTCCTAAGGAGAAGACCCAGGGAAATAAAACAATTACTTTATTTTGGCCTTTTAACACGTAGAAACACGGCAGCTTTTTTCAATCTGAAATGTTCAATATCCATATATCCTGAGTCCTGCAAGATTACCTCATAAAGTGCCTGTAATCCATGCAGTAAAATTTTGTTTCAATAGTAATTGTCAAACGCTATTCTGAATAAAATAAATGCTACCTACTTTTGGGAAAGCTAACTCATTTTAGAAGACGCTTGATCTAAAGTCACTTAAGGTGTCACTTTTTGGGAAACACTAACAAATTTGATTGATTGTTTTCACTGTTTTAGAAGTTGAAATAACCATAAACCCAAATGACTGTAGTTACTGTCCTAACACAGCGTGTGCTTTACCATCTGTCCAATTAAAAACTTATCCTTTTGCGTATGTTTCTTTGGGGAAGAATCCACATCTACAAAAGACCAAAAATTGGTCTGAACTGAAATCGTAACTTGCTGGTCAGCCTCTTCTCCGTACTTCTTCCCAGGAATGAATACTGTTGTCGTTCTGCTCTCAAGCACTAGGACAGGACAAAATACATCAGCTACGTAATCCATCTAGGTTAACTATAAATTCTAGTCCCACACACACCATCAGAAACCAGTCATGGTTGTGTATTTCACCCAATGGTCATGATCAATGGATCTCTCTAGTGTAGCCTGCGTGGCAAGTGTAAACTAACAGGATCTTGGCTTTTTTGCCCTTGTGACTTACACAGACTGGTTAAAAACAGCTTACAGATTTTCCCAGCATCTGAGGGCCATAGGGGCTGGGGAACGAACCTAGCCATGAATTTGCATGTTTTTTTTGTTCTGTCCATTTATTAGTAGGTGTGAAATTACCGGACTGTAGAAGTTCAAGTTTATCCTTTTTATATGAAGATAAATCTCCTATGTAACAGATACCACCCTTAGCCAGCACAGCGCTGCAAGCGTGAATACTAGCACTTCCAGTTCCGTGTTTATCTTTGGACACAGAAGGAAAAATTTCACTGGAAGGTGGGTGTCGTATGCCACGAGGCAGAAGGCATATGCTGTAATTCAGAAGCCTAGAGGATTAAATAATTCTGTCAGTCATAAACTCATTGTTCAGTTTTTCAAAACTTAATACTATACTTAATACTTCATAATGGTATTTAGATATGTTAGGACTCACTTAGAAACAACAACAAAAAAACCCTCTTAACATAAAACCAGAGTCAAAACTCAATGTTTAACATAACTTTGAATACAACAGTAGAAGTCAGCTTTTTGGCCAACAGGACTATGTTTCTAACGGATTTAACGTGAGGTAAATCATGGTTTGCAACAGAAGCTATTCCTAGGAAGTGAATGAAGTCTCATAATTTATGCCCGCATTGTTAACTCTTATTCCTGTTCTAGAGAAACTTTTCCAGTGATTTAAAACGGTAGAGGATTAGCAATTCTGGCCATCTGGGGAAAAAGAAAAGGCTGGGAATGTGCAAGCACTGCCTGCCTGGGTTACCCCTGCCCCCAATTCTTGTTGAGAAAGCAGGTACAAAATTTCTTTTTCATCCCCCACACTATGTTCCTTGGAAAAAAAAGGTTGCAAATTGTCTGTCTGGTTCCACAATCAAAGGCTCCTAATGCTTTTAAGATGTCAGAGTACGATTTATCCTACTATTAATAACTGGGAGAGAGTTACTAATTAAAATTAATAAAGTATTGCTAAATAGGGTATCATACCAATATGAATATGACGTAGGACATGCCTATTTTGACAGGCTACTGACAGTAAAATACTAAGTGCAAGACAGTACAAATGACAGTACTGACCAAGATTTACAGTGTGCAACTGTTTTAATATTAACCAGATGTTTTGATTCTCAAAAGACTCGAGTTCCTACGATTTCTCTTATGAAATCTTACTCTGAACTGGGGAAAGAAATCCTGCAGCCCACGGGGTTTTTTTTTAAAATTTGAACTAATTTCCACAGCTAAATTTTGAAATGATTAAGAAAGTATTTTTTTCCACAACAAAAAATACTATTGAATTTGTTGAACTCTCAAATGAAAATAAAATTCATGCCACTTTCAAAGAGCTTTTCAAAAATAAAAATGAAGCCTTGTTTTGAGTTGGGGAAGGAGAAAGTAATTTTGTTTAAATTAATGTAAATTTAAAGGTCAGCATATTGTACTCTGCAGTGTATGTGAAATTCTGTTAACAGTTTATAGTTATGTGAAGGGGTAAACACATAAAACTCATAAATACAGATAAGCTTTATGTTAAAGGCAACAACAGCTGGGTTTATGACCTTATGTGTAAAGATGTACATGACTTTTGATTCCTCATCAGTATAGTTTTTATGAAAAAGTGGTAAAAATGTAAGTACCTATTGACACAGTGCTTAGTAGCTGAAAATGCTGACAGCTGGGCAGCGGTGATGAAAAGGCTTAAAGTGACACAAGATTTGAAAAGCAGAGCCCTTTGCTTTCATCATTACCAGCTTCTGGGACAGCCTCCAGTTTTTATTTTAGAAGAATGTTTTATCTGAGGTCTGCTAAACAGTGCTAGTGTTAAAAACTTACTGAGATCATTATGAGAGCGTTAAGGGATTTTTATTACTAGTGAAGTTCTGATCTAGATTTATCACTTGAAATAAATAAAAATTTCCCAGGGATGAAAATAGGGTATTTTTACTAAGTCGGAGCCCTGTATATTCTTTTAAAAGATAGTCTCTTTAGCCTTTCATGTAAGACTGATCCTATTGTCTTTAAAAATACTCATGTTCTTAATTCTAATTCACGTGAAAAATAAGGAATCTCTTTACCTATCAATTACTAGCGTGTCACTTGTCACTATCAAGAGATCCAGATAATCTGCATTTTCTTTTTCACATGTCTGTACTAGACTCAGCAATATTGCGAGTTTAAGAGTATTGTAGGTGCCTGGTGGAACAACTTGAGAAGCAAAGATATTGGCAAGGACAGCTGTAAACCTCCAGTATGAACTTGAAGTCAGTGAGAGCAGGTACTTAAAATTGTCACTGACAAGAGAAGGACCTAATGAAAACAAAGTACAGGTTAACAAACACTTCGTAAGAGACCTATGCAGATATGTTAGAACAAATCACCACTCTAATCCTGATATAACACTTACAATGAATATGTTTATGTATTAAGCACAAATTCAGAATGTAAACACCTGACTATTAATTTTACTGCTAAAAAGGTAGCAGACATGATCTGCTAAAACCGATGGAACAAGAAAGGAATAAGAAACCGAAGTATCAGGTTCACTTAATGTGTGATTTCAAAGTACCTTCCAACGGATAGGAAAAGTTGGCAAGAGAAGTTGAAAAATAGCAGTAAATAGTTATGTAGTTTCCCAGTGTATGGAAACTGGGCAAAAGAAGATCTTCTCAAATAACAGTAAGCATAGATTTCAGACTGTATGAGGAAAAGTCCCAGAGTGGTTTCGTAGTCCAGACCTCTAAATAACAGAAAACTATACCAATCCTCAAGATTTTCTAAAAAGTTTTCCAACTTTTTTAGTCATTTTTTAACAGAACTTACCATTTGGCTTACAGAGCTGTATGCTACTGACTTCTATACATGCTGTGGCTTGCAAGCCATTTTGTACACAAGCTGGAATTCCTATAATCTTGTAGTGGTTTCCTATTTTCATTTTATTGGCCAGTTCATCTAGAAATTAAAAAAAGAAAAGCAGGGCAAAAAAAACGGTTTTAAAGACATGGTCAGAAAACTTCTTCACATTCTGAACAGTTCGATTTTATGATGTAATTGCAGAAAACAACAGTTGAATGCAAAAGGTAAGGAAAATAAACTAGGTGAGGAAAAGTAGATTCCTGATAAAGAAAATGGATGATGCATTTAGTTCTGCATTGAAAAGAAAATGGGCAGAAGTTTGCGTTCCTACTCTGAAACTTGTGGTGACACCGTTATCAGTTACTATATAGTATATAAAATGTCAGAGAAAAAAACCACAACAAAAAGGAAATCCAAACTAAACAGATTTCAAAGAGACACACAAATAGCTTTGGGAACCTTCGTATTTATGTGCATTTTAAAAATAAATAAATCAATCAATAAATCACATTTATTTTTTGGAAATGAGAGTTAGATCGAACCAAATAGGAATCTCAGCTGTGAGATCCTGTCTAACCTCATTGATCACCAAAGCCAGTGGAAATTTAATGCATGCATAACTCGCAGTATCTCACCCATAGATTCTGTTCTACAACAATACATGCGCAGCGGCAGTTTTTAAGCGTTCAATCTTTTTAGCAGGGCTGGCTGTGACAGGACAAGGGGGAATGGTTTTATACTAAACCAGGGTAGATTTAGACTGGGTATGAGGAAGAAATTCTTTACAATGAGGGTGGTGAAACACTAGAGAACAGGTTGCCCAGAGAGGTAGTGGAGGCCCCACCCCTGGAAACATTCAAGGCCAAGTTGGATGGGGCTCTGAGCAACCTCATCTAATTAAGAGTGTCCCTGCTCGTTGCAGGGGGGTTGGACTAGAAGACCTCTAAATGTACCTTCCAACCCAAAACAGAAATTGTATGATTCTATGATCTTGGAGCTATTCAGTTTTCAAGAAATTAACCATGTAATTCCATAGACTTTTGGAATGGAGAGGGTTTGGGGTTTTTTTGAAGAGGATTAATGGAAGTATGTTGGTGAGTTATGATTTTTAGTTGGATATTCACATTAGAAATAATTTAATGTTTTCAGTGGAAGGCAGTGGTAGTAGAAGCCAAAAATCCTGATGGACGGCGGAAAAGAGCTAGATTGAGGAAGGATGTTAAAAATGCATGAAGTTAGTACAAAACAGTATGACCAAAGGAAGTAGAAAAGAGGAAAAAACAAGCTGCAGTTAGAATGTGATACTGCAGACCTGGCCAGGGGATTTTATTTCAATGAAAGTACAAACGTGAACACAATGGTTTTGCCATGTGTGCTCATCAGTCACCTGTGTCTACTGTTTAGTCACCTAGATAATTTTATGTATTCTTCCCCCCTAATTTTATTACAGAACTGTAATATAAATTACGATTCTCACCATTTTATGCAGAAAAAAAGGATCTATAAAGAAAATGCAAGGGATTATTACAGTTCAATTCTAAAACGTTTTTGACAAAACTCCAAAATTCAGCTTACCTCTCAAGAAAACTGTAAATGTCTGAATCCTAAAATGTGATTTATCATTGGAATATCCTTTCAAAGCATTAAGAACTTTTGCATCAATCATTTCAACTATTTGTTTATCTTTCAAAATAAAGGCAAAGAAAATGTTAGTTCTCTTGAAAACAGTACAGTTTGGGGTTTTTTTGGTTTTGGGTTTTTTTTTAATGACTGGTGTATTTTGGGGCTTTTTGCACTTAACCATTTTGTTTACTTATTGTGTAACAGAAGTAGGCAAGTAGCAGATCTAAAAAAAAATCTACGTAGATCCTACCACCAAGCACTCTAAATTTCATGTCTTCCTGCAGTGGTGAAGAACACAAACTACACGCAAAATCGTTCCTCACTGTGGCAGATTCCGTAGCTCCAGGCAGATGCACTCTTATGTACCTAAACCCTAAGAAAAATAAATAAATAAATAAAATTACTAAACATTTAACATGACAACCTGGCTTTCGTTTTAAATTTTCCATTAAGAATGGAAGTGATTAAAATACTGGACAGTGAAATTCCAAATTTATCACGTGTTTCTTCAGATGAGCATACGTGCATGTACTGTGCTTCCACTAAAGTGATCTGTATAATTTATTTTATATCTATATAAAAAATACACATCAACGGGCCACAAGATGGCAGAATTCCCCGCTGCACGTTCCCAGCCGCAGGCAGCAAGCGACTGCCGCTTCTGCCTTGCACAGAAATTACACGGGATAGGACAGTCATTCTTAGAGGTATGTGACCTCATCGAGACACCGTTATGATTTAGCCTGCAGTCTCCTAACTTTGGGATTTCGCTTCTCTTTTATAATTTTATGGTCTCTGTTACAGGAAGGAGCAAACAAAACAGCCTGATCCTGCAACTTCCCTACTCCTGCTGGCCACGATTAGATTATACTGGCAACCTATCTCTTCTCATATAAACTATCTTCAGCATGGATTGCTAGTGTAGCTATGCTCCCAAAACATCTAGTAATGCTGAGCATCCACTGGCAAGGTCCACTGCTTTCAACGAATAAAATCATGCTGTGGTCATTACAAAAACGTCTGCATAATAAGACTGCATAGGAAAATCCCTTTTTCATGTTAGGTTTTTGAACTCTGTTATTAAAATTATTAAAAAGCTTTTGAAATAGTACCAATTTATCTTTTACTTTTTTTATTACCTTCAGAAAATGGACAGGTTTCCTCAGTACAAAGAAATCTTGCTCCTTGTGTGTATTTTGTTACAGTTCCCATTGCAATTGCTATTCCTTCAGACATATAAAATCTTTGAGACGTGTAATTAAAAGGAAACGCAGAAAGACTCAGAACATAACTTGGTAAAGGTGGCAAATGAGTTGGTTTCAGCAGTATACTAATCTAACAAGAGACAAAATTGCATTAATACCAGAAAAATATTTTATTTACAACTGCCTTACTTACATGGACAAACACATGGTGTGATGTATAGCTATTAGAAAAAAAATTCAGAAATGCATGAAGTGTAACAGTAATTAGGTTTCATATTAATTATCTCAAAATTCTTCCAATATTGTTGGGTGAGACGTCCAGCTATTTTTAATTAGAAATAATACTACAACTGAAGGGAAAATGAGAATGGAAAAGTTAATACAAAAATAGTATTTGTTAATACTTCACCATAGTTTCAAGATTTAAGATCTAAATGGAGGAAAACAATGCAGGCTCACCTGGGCCTCTGTCTGCAGTTGTTCAATTAATGATAATGTCTTAATAGCTATGAAGCATACCTGTGATTGAAAAATAACTTCATTTTAGAAAGGAAAATCTAGTTAAAATATCAAAGATGTACTTTTGTCTAACTCTTGTCTATAAATACATACTTACTGACTGAAAAACCTGTGCAGCTTGTATGGGATGATGAAGAATGTAGTTTCCAAGAGTCGCATCTAGTTCAGCAATATCAGAAGGATTTATTGAAATAATGAAACGATAAATAGCATAACTTTGTTTTGAGTCTGTAGGAGCAAAAAGTATCTTAAATAAAAATAACAGAGATTTGTGTAACATTGCATATCGATTTAACAGACTATTGAGCGAGTAATACCATTATATTTTTTGCAATCGTGCACGAATTTCTGAAGGCCACCACTTCTGTCAAGGTAAACAAGGGCAAATTCCCTCATTTTCTGTATTTCACGGTGCATCTTCCAAGAGGGATCTTTGCACTTTATCAAAATGTTGGAATAAACTGTGAAGAAATGACATTAGAACTACGATAATAATAAAGGTATATATAAACAAAGCCATACAAATTTAAAATAGTCTCTTTTTCAAACCATGCAATTCTTTTAAGGATTTTTAAAATTCAGTGCGAAGTTCTTTCCAATGGCTGAAGCATACTACATTCTCAAAGTAAATTCCTGAAGAATGTTCAAGTGTTTTCTTTTCTCAGTGAGTTATTTCACTGCCCAATTCCCTAACCCATGAAATTAAAGCTTGCATTTTACTTTAGCCTCCCCTATATATTTGATAGGTATAATCAGCCCAAAAGCAAGACTTAAATCTCCCTTATCTGAGAAGTCTGTCATAGACGTTAGAAGCGTGAAACAGGGCAACATCTTTTCCCTTCTTTAAACCTGACTTTCCAACTCTGTTGTTACCTCCTGTAGCGCCCACTGAAGGTTAACACCTTGCACTTATTTCCACCCATCTACACAGAAGATCAATTCTGATTGCAATAGATCATCTTTCACAACTACACTTTTAGTTTAGAGGCTGACCGTGCTCTTCAGCGCTGTTTTCACTGTATATTACCCACATCTCTGCTTTTTTTTTTTTTTCCTTTAAGTAGAATCTCATACCATGAAGTACTACTTTCCTGAATTTAGAGGGAGAATTACTAAGGCCAAAATATGGCATTTGTGTGTCTTGTTTTACTGTCTTACAGATTTTCTTCTACAAAGTGTCCGTTGTCCTCTCTGTACGATGACTGATATGAAATGCTACTTAACTCTTCAAAAATAGATTTAGCTACCTGGTAAAGGACACGACACAGAATTATTGGGCAGATGAGGAAGCAAAGCTCATTGCATATGAAAGATCCCTTGTAGGAGTTCACGTAAATAGCTTCTTGAGGACAAACAGCTCAGCATCCGAGAGGATTAGGTGGATACCAATGCAATGCAAGCGTGGCAGCAGCATCAAGCCTGTAACCCAAGAACTGTACGCTGAGGGCTGGCAGATGCGTTTGGTGCCTGAAGTATCAAATTTTAAGCACAAGTTGAAAGAGAATTTGTAGTAGCCTTTTTTTTTTCTGGTTTCTTTAGGATTACTCCTACAAGATTACCGCTTCATCCCTTGAAATCTTCAGCAACATTAAAGAAACACACACACACAGATCCACCGTATCTCCCTGGACCCTGTGTTCCCTGGGCTAGAAGGACACCAAACAAGACTAGGAAGGACCGAGCTATGGCCCAGGTCATTGTGCACTAAACACGGTCATCGCCTAAGCTTTAAAAAATAAAAAGTCTGACCAGCCCCGCTAGCGGTGTGACCACATTCCTTGGTGCCCCC